GACACTGTCTTAAAAATTTTTTTAATTAAAAAGAAGCTTAAATTCAATTAAATGTCACATAGCATTTCTTGTAGACATTAATTAGTGGCCAGACAACACATATCTTCCCTATTATAGATAATATTTGAAAACCAATTAATGCAATCCATCATATGAACAGACTAAAGAAGAAAAATCACATGATACTCTCAATAAACTCATGAAGCTACTTTTTAAAAATGTAATATCCATTCATGATTTTAAAGAGAAACTTTCACCAAACTAGGAATACAAGTAAATTCCCTCAATTGATAATAGGAATCTACAAAAAGCCCACAGTTAACAACATACTTAAGGGTAAAAGAATGAATGCTCTCCTCCTAGAATCAGGAAAAAGGCAAGGATCTTCACTCTTACCACTCCTATTCATCAGTATATTGGCAGTCCCATTCAGTTCAAAAACTCAAGGAAAAGAAATAAAATTCTGTATCTTCTATATATCAGAACAGAAGATATAAAATGGTCTATATTCATTGATAAGATGATTATGTATGCAGAAAATGCTAAAGAATCTAGGAAAATAAAGCTACTAGAATATAATTTCTTTTCCTTCCTTTTCTTTCTTTCTTTCTTTCTTTTCTTTCTTTCTTTCTTTTCTTTCTTTCCTTCTCTCTCTCTCTCTCTCTCTCTCTCTCTCTCTCTCTCCTTCCTTATTTTTTTTTAACAGTGTCTCACTCTGTCACCCAGACTGGAGTGCAGTGTGCCACGACCTCAGTTCACTGTAACCTCTGCCTCCTGGGTTCCAGTGATTCTCCCACCTCAGCCTCCCGAGTAGCTGGGACTACAGGCATGTGCCACTACGTCTGGCTAATTTTTAGTAGAGATGGAGTTTTGCCATGTTGGCCAGGCTGGTCTCACACTTCCAACCTCAAGTGATCTGCCCGCCTCAGCCTCCCAAAGTGCTGGGACTACAGGTGTGAGCCACCGCACCAAGTCTATAAGTTATTTTCACAAGCTTTCAGGAAATCATAAATAAGATAAAAAGAAAATTAATTTTATTATCATATACTAGCAGTTAACATTTAGAAATTGAGATATTTAAAATACCATTCACAATAGCATCAAAAACATGCACTAGAGATAAAGTCAACAAAATATTTATAAGACCTGTTCTCTGATAACTACAAAGCACTGCTAAGAGTAACCAGAGAACTAAATAGGTGAAGAAAAAAAAATACTAGGTTCATGGATTAAAAGTTCAATATTGTGAACATGATTATTTTCTGCAAATTAATCTATATATTCAACTCAGTTTAATCAAAATCTCAGCAGGTATTCTTGTAGAAATTGTCAAGTGGATTCTAAAATTTAGATAAAAATGCAAAGGATAATAGGCAAATTAATCTGGAAAAACAAAGTTGGAGAATTCACAAAACCTGATTTCAATACTTACTATAAAACTACAATAATCAAAACAGTTTGGTGATAGTATAAGGCATATAGAACAATTGAACAGAAGAAAGAGGCCAGAAATATACCCACATATATAAAGTAACTTTATTTTCAACCAAAGTGCAACCATCACTCAATGAGTAGAGCATAGACTTTCAATAAATGATGCTAGAACAACTTCAAATCCATATGGAAAAATAAAATTCCACCTTAACCTCACATAATAACACAAATTAAGTAGAAACTGAATGTAAAAATTGAAACTAATTGTAAAAACTGAAATATTAAAACTTCTGGAAGAAAACAAAAATATATATGAATTTTGGGTAGACAAAAACTCAGGACATGAAACTAGTAAACTATCATAATTATTTAAAAAAAAAAATCAGACTTCATCAAAATTTCAGCCTTGTGCTCTGTAAAAAATAGCTTCAAGAAAACAAAATGGCAAACCATAGAATGGAAGAAAATAGTCACGATTTATCTATGTGATAAAGGACTTGTATTCAGAATATATAAAGAACACTTCCAATTCAACCAGAAAAAGATTAAAAAAAAAAAAAACCCGCCTCCCAGGTTCACGGCATTCTCCTGCCTCAGCCTTCCGAGTAGCTGGGACTACAGGCGCCTGCCACCACACCCAGCTTATTATTATTATTATTATTATTATTTTGTATTTTTAGTAGAGACGGGGTTTCACTGTGTTAGCCAGGATGGTCTCGATCTCCTGACCTTGTGATCTGCCCGCCTTGGCCTCCCAAAGTGCTGGGATTACAGGCATGAGCCACCACACTTGGCCAAAAAAACTCAATTTTTAATAAACACTCAAATAGACACTACACAGAGGAAGATACATAAATGATGACTAATATGTACATGACAAAATAATTTAACATTATTAATTATTGGGAAATGCAAATTAAAACCACAATAAAATACCAATACAAAACCCTTGAATAACTAAAATTAAAGACTGATTATACCAAGTGTTGGCAACAATACGTACTAACTGAAACTATCACACATTTCTGTTAGAGATATAAAATATTATAAGCAGTCTGAAAACTATTTGGGAGACTATAAAGTTAAACATATACTTATCATGTGACCCTGCAGTTCCACCCTTAGGTATTTTCAAAGAGAAATAAAAGCACATATCCAAAGACTTGTACGTGAATGCTCATAACAGCTTTGCGAATAATAGCCTCCACATGGAAATAACCTGAATGCACATCAATGGATGAATGGATTTTTTAAAATTGTAATATATACGTAGAGTGGGACATTATTCAGCAATAAAAGGAGTAAACTACTGATAAACTCAGCAACATGAATGAATCTCAAAAACATTATTCTGACTGAAGAAAGCCAATTCCTCACCCCTCAAAAAAAAGTTTCATAATGACTCCTTTCATGGGAAACTCTAGGAAAAATAAATCCAATCTACAATGATAGAAAATAGATCAGTGGTCTAGCACTGGTGGAAGTGGGACTGAGAACATTTTGAGGTAATGGAGATGTGGTGGTGGTTACAAGGGCATATGTATGTGTCTAAACTCATCAAACTATATAGTTAAAATATGTGTATTTTAAATGATAAAGGTTTGAGATGATGAATATACTAATTACCCAGATCTAATCACCCACTGTCCTCCCACTATTCATCACACACATTCTCGATAAAGAAACTATTTTTTGTAAATAAATAAATAAATAATAAAACATGCGCATTTTATCATGCCTAAATTAGACCTTAATAAAGTTGATTTTTGAAAAAGAAAGACTGGTTACTGATTAACTTAAGGGTAGAACATATAGACCTGTCAGTACTTTGGCAGAGCTTACAGTTAGGTTGGGAAGGACCTATATTCTAGCTGCATTGAGTACATTTGATTTGCCCAATTGCATATGAGACATCTTGCCCTCTAATACCTTTTGTTGTAGTTAAAGAATATAGTCTTGAGGATCATTCACTATTGGCAAGACACATTACAAGTCACTGCCACAGCTAATGAGGAGACTCTTTTTTACCCCTAAAATCCTTTGTATTTGGCTATGGAGAAGACCATCAAACATAAGGAAGCTTCACTTTAGGGTGTCTCTGGTGCACAGATAAACTGGGAGATAAAACGTAAGGAAACAAGTGCCCATAATAGATCCCAGATCACTACCAAAGCAAGGAAGTCTATGGAATCTGAGATAGAAAGAATAAATATGGTCTAAAATCCATGACTGCAAGTAGCGTTCAGGGATGAAATATGCCAAGTATAACTTTTGAGGTTGCAATATACATGATAATGCCTTACAACAGTGTTTCCAAGGACTGGGATAAGTACTAGTGGTGGTACGTGGAATTACTTTAAGAGTTTTTCTGAGATGAATTGGGATGGCAAACAAACATGATATTAAATAACACTGAGTCATATTATGATTCCTTCTCTTATTCTCTTAGTTTTTTTGTATTTTGTAACAAAAAGTCTCATTTCCTGCTAATATGTCTTATTCTTCTGTCTTCTCTCTTTTAAAAAGGAGAAAATGCAAATACCTAACTGAAATGCAGGAGCATTTTTTGTTTGTTTACATAGTTATCTTCTATTTAGGGCAAGTTTTTAAATTTGTGATAGTGATACTATATTTTATACAATAAATGTTTTTCAATTAAAAGGCGGTTAGCTTATTTTAAAAATAGGTAAACAGTACGTTAGTGGTATACTGATATGATGACATATGAACACCTGAGCTTAGATAACATTGCCTTAAAATGTTAATTTGTAAGGAAGTACATGTATCTCTGTATAGATACATCTATATTGATAATCATTAAATTATTGTTATATTAAAAATATTAAAGAAGTTCAATAGCAGGACTATTTTCACATCGTAAACTAGTTTTAAAGTCAGAATTACATGCCCCTTAATGTCTCCCAAAGTTTCAGATCCCAGTTACTGATAAAGAGCCAGATCAGGATTTTTAGCATCTTATAAATTGGGGTAAAGCACTGTATAATTGGACGAAAGGCAGAAAAATATCTGAACAACGATGAAGGGTCAAATTCCACTCTGCCTCTACCTCTCTGGGGTGTGCTCTCACTTGAATGTGGGTAGATGGAGAAGATATGCAGAGGATGCCCCTGAAAAAAAGATTCTGTCCCCAGAAAAGTTGGCAATCTGCTATTTTTAGTTATGCTCTTTTTCTTCTCAGTATATTTCTCAATGTCTTTTACACGTGATCTTAGCCAAAAGGCCGAGAAGCGATCTCAATTTCTTTTTGAAAAATCCAAAAAAATTTACATTTGACTTTAGGTCCATTAATCATTTCAAAAATACATCACATGGACAAATTTCTTCAAAATTGTTACGTTGCTGTCAATGTTTTGACAATGATGTGCAATTTTTTAAAAACTTAACCTCAGCTAGACTCTAGAGAATTTTACCAGCCAAAATCAAAAACAGAACTGTAAAACAGATTTTCTTATTTAAAGAAACACAAGACAGTTTGATTCCTACCATTTCTTATAGTTTCCCAAGAGTAAAATTAAATTTGGAATGAAGAAAGATAAACCCCTTACCTGTTGGAAGGTGCAGTGTTATGTTGTTGCAAAAATCTGTGAAGCAGCATTCGGTTTTGGTAACATTGTTGGAACTATGACAGAAGACTTGAGCATTCAGTTCTGGAAGGGAGACACAGGATTTGATCACCTGTTCTTTTCCATTGGTTAGCATGACTGATGCCCAACATGCTCCTTCTGTTTGGCAGGTAAAGTTTGAAGAATCACACAAAAGACATACACACTTCAGTCCTGGAAAGAGTAAGGCAAAAAGATTTAAAATACAAAAGACATCATGCTACTTTACTTGATAATACCTCAGAACATAAATTCAATCTTAATGAAAATGGAAAAAGGGTTTAAATAAAAACACTTGCTAAACACATGCTAAGCTCTTACTCCCTCTCCATCATGTATTTCACTAAACATCTTGTCCAATTATCATTTACTATTGCTAATATTTTTGTGATTTATTCAGTTGCTACTATATTTAAAGCATTTTTCCCATCCATGCTCTAAATACCTACTTATTAAGTTCAATCAGCTCATTCCTAAATCAATAGCTCCTAGGAAATGCTAGGAAACAGTATCACAGCAACCAAGAGGAGCTGTCCAGCAACACTCACAGAACATTAAAGTGGGGTTATGGCAGCTGTGTAACCAAACAATTCAGTGTGTTCTGTTCATTTGCCCTCCTTCCTTTAAACTTTTAAGCAAATGTGCTAAACGCAAAGCTAACCATAGACATTTATGTCTCTAAAAAGTAGTTGTGACACTTTATATTTATTTTCTGTGATACTTTAACACAATTGTTATTGTCATAGTTCCTTTAAGACATTGGTGAGCCACTATATTTCCCCTCTTCACTAAAGAACATATATTAGAATGAATCATTTGAACAGACACCATGACCTTCAGGTAATTTTCTTTAATTCACACATCCAGTCCATAAAGTAAGGCACACCAATAATAGAATTTAGAATATCGATACCAATACAACTGTGAAAAATTACACTTGGTTAAACTAATCTGTTCACTATCTACACCTCTCCAACATTCTTCACTTATTACACACACACACACACAGTCACCACTAAGTCACATGTCCAAAGTGGTGCCTATTTATGTTTTGATGTAAAATATTCATCAGCATGAAGCATCTAGTGGTTGTGAGTTATTTATTCAAATTTTATTTAAATATATTGTTTCTAAATAGCATAATACTAAATAAGCTTTGTATTACTGTTTTAAAATTCTTTAAATTTCAATAGCTTTAGGAGTACAAGTTGTTTTGGGTTACTTGGGTGAACTGTATAATGATGAAGTCTCAGCTTTCAGTGTACCCATCACCCGAATAGTGTACATTGTACTCAATAGATAATTTTTCATTCCTAACCTCCCTCCCACCCTCCCCCACCTCCTGAGTCTCCAATATCCTTTACGTCTCCCTGTTTGCCTTTGCATACTCACAGCTTAGCTCCCTTTTATTAGTGAGGACATGCAGTATTTTGTTTTCTGCTTTTGACTTACTTCACTTAGGATAATGGCCTCCAGTTCCATCAAAGGTTGCTGCAAAAGACATTATTTCATTCTTTTTTATGGCTAAGTTGTAGTCTATGGTATATACACACACACACACAAAAACACACACACCATATATATATACGTGTGTGTGTATATATATGTGTGTGTGTATATATACATGTGTGTGTATATATATACATGTGTGCATATATATATATGCACATACACATACACACGTTTTTATTCATTTATTGGTTGATGGGCACTTACGTTGATGCCGTATCTTTGCAATGTGAACTGTGCTGACATAAACATACATGTGCAGGTATCTTTTTGATAACCCAATAGTGGGATTGCTGGATCAAATGGCAGTTCCATTTTTAGTTCTTTGAGAACTCTCCATACTGTTTTCCATGGACATGGTAATAATTTAAATTCCCATCAGCAGGGTATAAGCATTTGCTTTTCACTGTATCCACACCAACATCTATTGTTTTTTGACTTTTTAATGGTGACCATTCTGGCTGGGGTAAGCTGATATCTCACCATTATTTTAATTTGCATTTCCCTGGTGATTAGCGTTGAACATTTTTTCATATATTTGTTAGCCATTTGTATATCTTCTTTTGAGAAGTGTTTATTCATGTCATTTGCCCACTTTTTAATGGGATTATTTGCTTTTTTCTTGCTGATTCTCTTGAGTTCCTTGTAGATTCTGGATACATCCTTTTTTGGATGTATACTTTGCAAATATTTTCTGCCATTCTATAGGTTATCTGTTTATTCTATTATTTCTTTGTGCAGAGATATAGATGACACAAACAAATGGAAAAACATCCATGCTCATAGATTGGAAGAATCAATATTGTGAAAATGACCATGCTGCCCAAAGCATTCTACAGATTCAGTGCAATTCCTATCAAAATACATCATTTTTCACAGAATTAGAAAAAAAATCCTAAAATTTTTATGGAATCAAAAAAGAGCCTGAATAGCCAAAGTAATCCTAAGCAAAAAGCACAAATCTGGAAGCATCACATTACCCAACTTCAAATTATTCTATAAATACAGGGCTACAGTAACCAAAATGGCATGGTACTGGTATAAAAGTAGACACATAGACCAATGAAACAGATTAGAGAATCCAGAAATAAAGCTACATACTTACAACCAACTGATCTCCGACAAAGCACACAAAAACACACACTGGGGAAAGGATACTCTATTCAATAAACGGTGCTTGGAAAAGTGGATAGCTACGCGTAGAATAGCTACGCGTAGAAGAAAGAAACTGGATCCTCCTCTCACATTATACAAAAATTAACTCAAGATGAATTAAAGACTTAACTCTAAGCCCTAAAACAAGAAAAATTCTAGAAGAAAACCTACAAAGACAAACTATTCTCAACATTCCCTAGGTAAAACATTTATGACTAAGACCCCAAAAGCAAATGCAACAAAAACAGAAATAAATATATTATTAATGTTATGAACTTTTTGTTAAATCACAACTTTCCTCCCATAATTATCTAAATGTCCAAATTTTTACCATATAATCATTGTTAGTAAAATTAAAGTCTTTAAATTGCTAATCGCTCAAATGGGAGTTGATTTTACACTTGTAAAATATTTGATACATAAATGACAACTTTTACTTAACTTCAAATACCGATATGGGAGCAAAAATGGGTACTATTCCTATATAACTGAATATTTAACAAAGAACAAATTCTATATCGATCATATAGAAATTATTCTCTTCTATCAACAATTTTTCTTAACTGATGAAGCATCATTTCTAAAAACATTTTTAATACTGGTATCCTACAGGAAATACAATCTTAAAATAAAATACTGTTTTGTTATCAACACTGAACCAAGCATAACAGCTCACTTTCCTATTTATTCCAATGGTGACCAACATCAGTAAATATACTTTGTCATCAATATTTATGTGATACAGAAGAACCATATATTCTAACTTGATTGGGATTCTATAGAGCTATATAGATAAAATCTAGTGCTTTAGAACATGTTTCAAGGCACTTTCCTTGCAAAAAGAGAACTCATGGGCAACCATTCATCTAGGTTTCTACTGGCAATGAAATCTTTCTAGCATTCTCCAGTTCCAATCTTAGAAATTTGATTATACTAGCTTTGCAATCTTAGGCATTACTTTGTCTCCTGTACCTCCATTTTCTTACATGAAAGGCAGGACTAATAATAATATATCTCCTCATAATGTTGTTGTGGAGCATAAATTAGTTAACCTATGTAAAGCCCTTAGACAAATCTCTGGCACATAGGAAATACTATATAAAGACTTAGGGACTATCTCTCCTACTACTGAAGGAGGTAAAGCCAGTTGCCTTATGCAAACAAGCAAAACAGTCAAAATACATTTGTAACCCATAAAGGAATAGCCAAATGAACTAGGATGCAGAGACAATTCAAAAGCCATAATAAAGAAATGCATCTCTTTCTGCTCTGTCAAGAGTGATTTGACTGCTCTCCTTCTTTTAATGACCCAGACTAGATTCTAGATGGTCACACAGCAGGTAGTATTTGGTGATGGTCCAGCCAAAGAATTCAGGAAAAGACAAAAGTTCCAGCCCTCACTCTGTCACTAACTTGCTGATTGACTTTGGAGAAGACATTTAACCTTACAGAGTCTCAACGTTGTTCTCTGAAAATAGAAAATGAATAGCATAGGGAAAGTGGGTCTAAAAATCTTAAACTCTTACATAACACCAATATTTTATGACTGTACTTATTTACACCTTATGGAAATCTACAATTACAAAATAGGAAAACTCATTTAATGTTAACTCAATTGCTGAACTATGGTTATTCTTCACTTTCATATTTTAAGGGGCTAAAGGTAGGAAAAAGAGTAACTCTTCCAACACACAATCTCAAACTGTTGTCACTAGACATTTCATCAGAATCTCCTTGGACACTCTATTTCCAAGAGAAGCTTAGCACTGACACAACCAACTAAGGAATATGAATCCGCTGAGTGAAGACAAACATAAAGCACTCAACAATTAAATATATGCTAGTTTCACATGCATTCATCATCTCATATAATCCCACTGCAACTGTGGGAGTTAGTTGTCACTATCTCCATTTCATATATAACAAAATGAGGCTGAAAAAGATAAAGTGACTGACTTATGTAACAGTCTCTAGACTAGTCAAGCAAAGGTACCATTTTTTAATGGCACCTTACTCATGAAAGGTGCCATAAAAAAAAATAGGTATGTGAACAATTCTCCCACCCCACAAATTTCTAGCAATTGTGAATAAAACAGAATTCTAATACAGCAGAAAGAAGCTGTTAATGAATTAACAATTGAAAACTAGGATTCTGATCGGTATTATCCTAATAGCCTTTAAAACACAGTTGGTATTTTTGAAACGAATTCTACCTACCTATTTTCTGAGGGGACATGCAGTCAAATAAAATTCAGTGTCATGTGCCTTGCATCTAAAATAAATAATCTCACCTTACAGCTTTATCTAAATTCTGTATTAAGTAAGGCTCTGGGTACATAATCTGATACTTTCTTTTTGAAGCACTACTGGCTCCTTATAAAAATGATTACATAATAGTTCTTAGCAAGGAATTATGCAGATATTCACTAAATGTTTAACAAGCTATAAAAATTTACTTTGGTTAAAAGTAAAAGGTACAAATCATAAGAATAATATATACCTAGGTGATATAGTTAAGACAGAAAGTGACACCTTACTTTAAATCTTGCATGATGAAAAACACTGGCAAAATTGAGGATTTGTTAATGATAATGGCTTCAAACATCTGCTAAATGTTCCCATTTATTCCAGTTCAGCTGGCAGTACGATAGGACTGACAGCGAACAAACAGCAAACTAAATAGGACCTAAGATGAATAAGTAACATACAACATACTCAGACTCTCATATTTCATTTCGCACCAGTCCACTATATCACTGCATTTGACATATAATTCAACTATATTTATATTAACCATCCTCAACATAGAACTTTTGTGCTGCCAATTACAATATAAGTTGCCATTAGTGATTAGACATGATTTTGTATTTTGTCTTTTTCAAAAAAAAACTGATGTTCATTGAGTTAATTATACTACAATATTCTGTGACAGAACAAATCTGGTTGTTAGCAGGCAGTAGTCTTGTCTCATGTTTATTTTATACTTTCCCATTACAATGTACTTGAGTCGTATGGAAAGGGGCAGCAAATGAGGTTGAAGAAGGAAAACAATTACCCATAATAAGGAGGTTTATTAGATTTTTCACCACAAGGAAGATTGTACTTTGCTTTTGTCTCCTCCTACCCCTTTAATTATCCCCTTTTATCCACTCTGCCAATTCGTCTCTAAAAGGCAAGACATCTGTTACCCACAAGACATCTGTTACCCACATCAACTAAAGGATGTGCACATTCCTAACCAACCAGAAAATAAATATTCATCCATATTTACATGTGATGGCTAGCACACCCTGGTGTCCAGAAATATAAAAACCATCTGACTACAAAAAAGAAACAAATTCGTTGATCTGCATTTATGTGCTATTCTTATTAGAAAGCCAAATATTTATTTGGCAAATATTAGGTGCTTTGAATTAGACAGTATTTTCAATATGTTGGTTACATATTACTATGTTCCCTATGTTTGGGGTCTAGATGCTAAAATTAACCAGTGCTTAACATAAACATCTGACATAAACTCTTTCTTCTTTTCCAGACATCAGTTTATTCAGTTTCTCTAGTTTTAGACCAGGCTATGAAACGCAAAATATTTTTTTTAATTCAGAAAACCATCTCGGATTTGACCTGCTGAATATGTAATCTTTTCATCATTTGCAGGCTTCTGAGTTAACAAAGGGAACAATTCAAGCTTTTCACTGTGCTGAATATGAAAAGTACAGCAGCAGGAAAGAAGCCAGGAAAACTAGCACTAGTAAATCTGAAGGAAAGCCAGACAGGGTCAAAGAAAATCAGGCAAAGATCTAGCTTCCTTTTCTATTCCTTGTTAAAATTTTATTTTCTTGTCATGTGGTCATTTCAAATATTCGCCTTTCTTAATGGTAAGGAAAAATAGAACAAAGAATGAAAATAGCATTAATAAAATATGGTTAATATAAATGCAAACTTTTAGGTCAAATGAGCTTTCAATAAAGATTCAGCTGGTAGAAATACTACTTCTCAGGCTGCAACCAAAAAATTCAGAACTCCACAAATAAGGGAAGACACCCATCACAAAGAAAAACTGTTCCTTTGCACAAAGTAGCAATTACATTCCCCATTAAAGAAGGTTTAGAGCTGAGAAGGAATGAAACCAGCAGGGATTCTGTCCAGGAGAACTGCTTAAACTTCCAGCTGCAGTGCTCAATTTAGTTAGAGTTCAGCACATTGTAAATTATTCGTACTAACCATTTGGAATTTTCTCAGTCCAAAGGCAACATTGATTGAAACTCAAGGTTTTAGCTCACTTGACCACCAGCCACCCGAGACTTTAGACAAGTTCCCCAATCTCTCCAGATCTTATCCTCTTCACCTGTAAAATAAGGAGGTCAAGAAGCAGGCTAGAAGACTTCTAAAGACCCCTCCAGTTCTCTAGTCCTCTGCTACTCTGAACTTGTGTCACAGTTCTCAATATAAGTGACTTAAGGATTACCTATGATAGATGAAAAGAGAGAGCTGGGGTTAGGGATGTGAACAGGATTGGTCTGTGCCCCCAAATTCACACGCTGCTATTTCAGAGGGTGAGAGAATTCTACTGGTTTCTAAATCAGCAAAACTTCTCCAATTAATGTTAAAGATTGTTTATCTTGTACTATATATATTACACAAGAATTGAATGTTCTTTTCAATATCAGCATGAAATCTGGGGGCGATGGGGGGAAAGTGATGGAGGCCTGAAAATGTTCATAGCCTCTCTGAGTTATGTGAGACAATCTAGAGACTGTCACAGGATCACAGAAACGGTATGCAAGACCAAAAGCAACTCAAAAGAGCACCACACTTCAGCAATCTGAATACTCTACATTCTACTAAGTAGATATGAAAACGTTTCCCAAAAATATTTCAATGGCTGACAGCAATTAGAGCTTAAAACTGACTAGAATGATGTTATTTATTTACTTATTGCCTCAAAACTTTGAATACATATGGAAAGGACACGTATGATGGCACAATGTCACAAAGCTTTTAGTGCAATTTTAAAACTTAACGGGAAAATTTCTATTTAGCATTTTTGCTTATCAGCGTGGTGATTAACTGAAAGTTTCACCTTTCAAAGAAGGCTTTTTCCAGAAATACCATTAATAACCTTCGCTGCTAAGCTCCTCCAGTGTGGGACAATTAGTAATCAACCATAAAGGGATACAATATAATCAAAATGGTTCATGACAAAATTATTTGTGTGGATTCTCTTAAAACATCCCTTTGAAAGGATGAAAATGCAGGATTCTTAGATAGGAAGATGGCAGCCTTCTCCTTCCTGCCTTTGGAAGTCAAGGCATGAATGGGCAACAGGCTAGCAGGGGTGGCAGTTGGTGATACTGCTCTTGGGTATATAGCAGTGTTTCCAAGGCTTAATCTTTGTTTCCTTAAGGAGGATACAGCCTATCTGGAGTCCTCTGGCCCAGTTTAGACTTTGCAGCCATGTAGGGGAAAAAACAGACCCTATTTGAAGGGTCAAAGAAAAGAGTATTCCCAATCACAGGACACGTTTCCTCTGCCACTCCTCACATACAATTCTTGCTTGGTTTGAAAGGTTATTTTCTTACCCTGGCAGCCTAAATGATTCCTCATCAAACTGTTTCCCAGTAGTTGGGGTTTCTTAATCTACTGTCTTCTGCTTTGGAGAATATTGGTGTTTAATGGATTCCAATTACATTTAGAATAAAGCAAAATCCACAATCATTATCATGACCTGATAGGCTAATAGTCTGGGTTCATCCCACTCATCCAATCTCATCTCTCATAACTCAGCCTTCCGGAGCACTTGTCTCCTTTTCGCAGCTGTGATATAACAAGTTTCCCACCTCATGGCCTTTACTCATCTTTTTCCCTTTGCCTGTAGTGCTCTCCCCTTTCTTCTCATTCTCCAGGTCTTAGCTCAAATGTCACCACCTCAGAGAAATCTTCAGTAACTACCCTTGCTCAAGGATCTGTTCCCCATCCTTCCTGCTATGTATCACAATCTATAATTCGCTTTTTAATTGTATTAGCCCCACTAGAATGAAAATTTCATGAGGGCAGGGCCCTTCTCCTGTTTTATCTACTATCACTTCCCCAACATTTAGAATAGGGTCTGGCAGTGTGGTAAAATTCAATAAAGATGTATTGAATTACAAATTGTAGAAAACTGCAAAGTACAGAAGAAATTTTTGTCCATGCTATTTATCTCTTGGATGAATTTTAAAGTTTCTTCTCAGTTTGAAAGAGGTTTTTATAAAGATAGAATAGAATAGAATAGAATAGAATAGAATAGAATAGAATAGAATAGAACAGAATAGAAATATAGAATAGATTTAGCTTTCATATAGCTTTTCCCACTTTCATATTTATTTGCTTTTTCTAACACATTACCTTTATTATTTGGGGGGTAGGGGGTGGAAAGATACTTACCCCTTGTCAAAAAGAAGTCAAGTAATACACATAAAGAAGGAAGTAAAATAAAATACATCACCCTTAATCCCAAATCCCCCAAACCACTACTGTATACAACCTCTCCAAATATTACTTTGTGGAGTTTCACACTAGATATGCATAGTGATGTTCTCATTAAAAGCCTAATAACATGATAGACATAAACTGTGTCTATCAATATTTTACTCTGCAATTTATTTTGCTTTAAAGCTTAGAAAATCTCCCATCCAGATATTTTCTAGTCAATATTTTCTTCCAGTTTCTGATCTGTTTCTTAGACACTTAAATATATATGCAATTTTGACATGGATCATCCAAATCATAGATAATATACAAATCTCCTTGACAGTAGTAAGTGAATTACTTTATGGCAAGTCTTTAGATACATTTTTAAAATCATTATTTAAAGAGTACTTTACTATATGCCAAAATACTAAAAAACTCTTTGGCAAAGAGTCAAGGCAGGGAGGGAGGCAGAGAGGAGAGAGAAAAGGCATGCACTAAAGCAACTTGACTGTGTAGGTTAAAGGATGTTAGGACAGTGTGGTAAACTGAGCCAGGGACACATGTAGGAGCTGCGTAGGAGCTGCGAGCTGCGTTGGGACACAGAAGTGAAGCACTACTGAATCCGGCTGGTGCTGGGGGTAAGAGATAGGGGCAGGGGCGGGAAGGTTTCTTGGAGGAGAATCTTGAGAAGCATACCTGTTCACCCTTCCTGCCGTTTGGAGGACGAGTCCCAGCCCATCCTCTCAGTAGTCCTCCAAGACGGTCCAGAGAGCACCCACCAGCCTGAGGAAACCGCGGCAGTCCTCCCCCACCAGGCAGTGTGGAAATACCTCCTGCTGCGAGGCGGCACCGCATGGACACTAACTGCCCCCACTTTGTCAACGGGTTTGGTAACACTCACTGCCCCAATGGAACTCCATTCCCGGTCCCCAGCCCGCTCCCCACCCCAACAATGACCTTGGCACCCCAACCCACCCCCGCGGAGCTCCCCTTGCCTGGACTTGCAGGTTGGAGCTCGGAGCCCTACCCCAGAGCAGCGGTCAGCGGCTTCCGCCTCCCCTTCGTCTGATGAATTTGCGAAAGGGCACCCTGGGGTCGCCGGGATGCCCTAGCTGTCCGCTGGACCTTGGTGCAGTGAATTCGCCCCCGACGACAGCTCCCGCGGGGCTCAGCCACCTGCCCGAGGGCAGGGCAACGTGCTCCGACGGCTTCCCGGCGCATCAGGGTACCATCTAGTGGCAGCAGAGGCAGGACGCAGGCTATTTTTTACAGAATGACCTCCACTCCGGATTAGCATTTCTCAAGCATTTTTAAAACCTGTGTGTCTTTAAAATAATCATAAAATGTTACACTCTCGATTTTGTTATTTGAAATTTTAAAATAAAATGCCTTGTCTAGAAGCAAATCAATGCAGTGATGATTTGATGACGCTTTTTCATTTGGAAATAGTGGCCCTCCACTCTCCAGCACCCTTGAAGATCACCATTTTAGCCTGGGAGGACTTGCTAGACCGGTATTTATTGAGAGAAATCTCTTGTTTGAACCAAAAGATTCCACCTATCCAAATACTGCCAGTGAAGTCTTTCCAAATTGTAAGAAGAAATGAGAAACTGATAAGCCCTTAATGTGTATTATAATTTGCATATTCTTGGGAGGCCGAGACGGGCGGATCACGAGGTCAGGGGATCGAGACCATCCTGGCTAACACGGTGAAACCCTGTCTAAAAATACAAACCCTACTAAAAATACAAAAAATTAGCCAGGCATGGCGGCGGGCGCCTGTAGCCCCAGCTACTCGGGAGGCTGAAGCAGGAGAATGGCGTGAACCCGGTAGGCGGAGCTTGCAGTGAGCCGAGATTGCACCACTGAACTTCAGCCTGGGCGACAGAGCGAGACTCTGTCTCAAAATAATAATAATTATTATAATTATTATTATTATATTATTATTATTTGCATATTCACGTAGGTCCTGTTGGTCTTATAGCTGTTATATTTACGCTCACATAAAATCATACCTGATAATGGTGGTTACCAGATTTGCAAATTACACTGACCAGTAAAATTTCAAAAATAATTTGGGGACCCAACCAAGGGTTACATCAAATTTTTGTGTTGTCAAGGAAGAACATTGAAAAAAAAAAATCGGTGGCTCATGCCTGTAATCCCAGCACTTTGGGAGGCCGAAGCAGGCAGATCATGAGGTCAGGAGATCGAGACCATCCTGGCTAACATGGGGAAACCCCATCTCTACTAAAAATACAAAAAATTAGCCGGGCATGGTGGTGGGCGCCTGTAGTCCCAGCTACTCGGGAGGCTGAGGCAGGAGAATGGTGTGAACCCAAGAGGCGGAGCTTGCAGTGAGCCAATAATGCACCACTGCACTCCAGCCTGGGCAACAGAGTGAGACTCCATATAAAAAAACAAAAAAAAAAGCATTCTCTATTACCATCATTTCAAAAAAGAACTCAATTCACATGATTTAATCATTTCACACTGTATACATATCAAAACAACACATTATACCTCACAAATATATACAATTATGATTTGTTAATTAAAATATTTATTAAAAGAAAACAATAAAATAGCTCACATTAAAAAAAGAAAAAAGAGCATTATAATACCAATTAAGAAAGTAAAGACATAAATCCCAGAATTAAGGTCTGACTTTACCAAACTCAAGGATATCTTTTAAAAATTTTCAAATGTGGATAAATATAATTGCATTTTATAATGTTATATTTCTTTTATTTCTTTTAATGGTCTTTTCTTTTTTTTTTTTTTTTAGATGAAGTCTCACTCTGTCACCCATACTGGAGTACAGTGGCACAGCCTCGCCTCACTGCAACCTCCACCTCCTGGTTTCAAGTGATTCTCCTGCCTCAGCCTTCCGAGTAGCTGGGATTACAGGCGCTCACCACCAAGCTCGGCTAATTTTGTATTTTTAGTAGACGGAGGGTTTCCACCATGTTGGCCAGGGTGGTCTCGAACTCCTGACCTCAAATGATCCATCCATCTCGGCCTCCCAAAGTGCTGGGACTGCAGGCGTGAGTCACCCGCCCAGCTTTAACAGCCTTTTTCTAATAAAAATTATTAATCTAGGGTTGACTGCATCAGAAAGTGGAGCTGAGTGTCCAACCTGTTATTATTCCAACCTATTGTGTTCACAATGAAAGGCCATACTCCACATGGAAACGCTGTCTCAAGTGGAAGGGGCAATTGTCTGTAGTGCTATTTTTACTCAATATGGAATATTCTGGAAACTGAAAAAAGCTGAATAGTCCGGGCACAGTGGCTCACACCTGTAATCCCAGCACTTTGGGAGGCCAAGGCAGGCGGATCACGAGATCAGGAGACTGAGACCATCCTGGCTAACACAGTGAAACCCCGTCTCTACTAAAAATACAAAAAATTAGCTGGGCGTGGTGGTGGGCGCCTGTAGTTCTGGCTACTTGGGAGGCTAAGGCAGGAGAACGGCGTGAACCCGAGAGGCGAAGCTTGCAGTGAGCCGAGATGGCGCCAATGCACTCCAGCCTGAGTTCAAAAACAAACAAAAAAAAGCTGAATAATAATAGCCACCCACTCCAAGCAACAGAGAAAGCTAATAATGGCCGACCAGGTGTCTAGCTAACAAGGCACATCTCTGCCCAGGGAACAGAGCTGCTGAGCTTTCCTGGCTCAACAAACTCACTCTAGATAGATGTTCACCTACCAGAAATTCACTTGGCAATGCCTCCATCAGTACTGGAGCACAAATCTTAACAGTGTATTTGATCAGCCTGCACACGTTGGTCTATTTTACAGAACTTGGAAGATAGTATGCATTTTCTGAATTAGTACAGTCTTGTGTTCAATATATTGCTTGTCAAGTCTATGATTTACTTGATGATTAACTCCTGATCAAGAATACACCATACACTTTTAACACTGTTTCTACAGGAAATGTTTACCAATTATAATCAATTCCTGAAGGATACTATTTCCAGCAATATCTTGCAGTGGTAAGTAAGCAGGGATTGCTACTCTGTAGCATGGAGAAGTGAACCTGTGTAAAGAAAAAACACCACAGGATCCCTAATCCAGTCCAGGGCATTTAGGGAACAAGTTAGGAGACTTGGGGTTCTAATCCTAGTTCTAGTAATATGGCCTCTGGGTCTTATGTGTTCAACTGATCTGTTTAAGAAAGAATTCAATTAAATGATCTCTAATGTGCCTTTCAGTTGTAACATTCTATAACCCTAAAAGCAGAAGGCATCAATGGCCACCATCCAGTATCAGAAAGAGCAACATGAGTGACAGCATACCCAGAAAACCAAGTTGTTGCCCTAGAATCACAGTTAGGGAAGAAAACTGTTCAGGAGAATTAATGTATTCTGATAAAGACTGACATGAATAATCAGAGTTCATATTTTGAAGGTCTGTTCAGTCAGTGAGATCTAGTTTTGTGTTTTCAAACTCTATTAAAGTAGAGAACATAGAAACCAAATGAGAAAAGAGCAGAGTTCAGTGATGAAAGGAGTATATGGCATAATCAATCTATTTGGGAAATATGCCATGAAATGCAAAAAAACAATTAACCACAAAAAATATTAAGTTCCAAACTAAAAGCTAAGAAAGCTCTGACTTGTTAAGCAGAAGCAATTAAAAGTAACCAGTAAGTAATCAACAATTAATAGTCATATTATGCAGTTACAAGATTGAAGAGATACAAAAACAGAACTGTCTGTCTCAAGTTTAGAATGAAAGTAGCAAAGAAAATTGAAAAGGTAAAGTCCTCAAGGGTTCTCAGGGGCTCATTCGTCAGAAATTTTTACCACAATCCACAGCTGCATATTTATATATGATCAGATATGGTAAAGAATAGATAATTCTCAATCTAGAAATAAAAGGAAACTATCCTAAGAAGCTGATCTAGCTAAAAAATAGAGTGGCAAGCTCAGAGTTGAAAAGGGAAGAGGAGGACAAGTGATTTGGAAGGATCTTTTTGTTTCATTAAGGCTGATCCTAGCTGAGCATCTTTCCAACATTGACCATGAGGCTCAAAAGTTTAGCCTGGATAATATGAAGAACGCATATACTGTGCAAACATAAAAAGGGCAGCATCACCTACCGCTCCCTTCAAAGAAGATGGGTGGGAAAGGGAGCTGATGAATGGGGAGCACATTTTAAAAATCCACAATGCTTTTTTAAAATATAATTCTTAGACTTCTAGGAATTATCATAACTATTTCCGAAGGTAGGTTACTGGCCAGGCGCAGTGGCTTGCACCTGTAATTCCAGCACTTTGGGAGGCTGAGGCGGGTGGATCACTTGAGGTCAGGAGTTCAAGACCAGCCTAGCCAACATGGTGAAACCCCGCCTCTACTAAAAACATAAAATTAGCCAGGCATAGTGGCAGGCTTCTGTAATCCCAGTTACTCAGGAGGCTGGGACACGAGAATCACTTGAACCTGGGAGGCAGAGGTTGCAGTGAGCCGAGATTGTACCACTGCACTCCAGCCTGGGTGATAAAAAAAGACACTCTCAAAAAATAAAAATAAAAATAAACTAAAAAAAGAAGGTAGGTTACCTGGCTTCTCCTGATTCCTTTTATCTATCAAGATACTGTTGAGTAACGTAATTGCCTGTTTCTTTTTTGCAGCTGCCCAAATATATTTCAAGACATAAAAGTATAAAAGTGAGGAAACATAAGAAAGAAGTTATAGGACCTCCAAAAAGTCTCAAAGAATTCATATTAGCCAGATGAAAAGGAAAGTCTAAGGTAGGTCATCTAAGTCTTGTTGCTTCTTTTATAGTGATATAAAACAAAACAAAACAAAAACTATAGCAAAGAAACAAACGAAAACCTTGTTTTTAGCTGTGTCTGAGTTTAACATTGTTGGAATTCAGCAAGGTGCAGTAAAAAAGATCCTACACT